TGACTGTGCAGTGATGGTTTGGTGATGGAAACTGAGGTTCTTAGCCTCAATGTGGGTTTTCAATTTGAGATTTTTGTGGAATCATCATGTTGATGATGCTAGAAATGGATGTTCTAGCATCATTGAGAGTTTTCAATGTAAAACTGTATTTAGGCAAAATTTGAGGGAGATAATTCTTACCCTGCTTGACTGCGTGAATTGTGAAGGAGGAGGATGAAATGAGTTGTTATATGAACAGTGAAAATTAGGACACAAATTCCTAGGAAACTAATTGGGCCAAGAAGTTTGGCTGTAAAGGTTTTCCTAATTGGACCTAAGTGAGTTGGGCTAAATAGTCGAGATTTGGACTAAAATTGTTGGACTTTAAATAATAAAATATAGTACTTGAAATTATTAAAATTTGAATTTAAAGATGATAAGAAATTCGATACTTTAAAAATATTAGAGATTGAACTTGATTTGAATGGATTTAAATTGGTTTTATAATGGCTAGACGAACACGCTTTCATTTTAAAATTCGGGGTTAAAACTTAGCGACACGTTTTTCAAGATAATAATTTAAAATTCTCGGTCGCTATAAGGATCCAACCCAAACTATGTCATAACTGTATCTAGAAGCTTCGCATACCCACAGTTACGATCGATCAACACTAATGATAGATGTGATCCATTCATCAAACAAACTTAATTGTTTTCCATTTTTGCAAAAGAAATCAACTTAAATAATATCTGTGAATCATAAAATTCTAAGTAACAACGAAAACACGTCACACTTTATTAGTCATGGTCACATATTGTATATCTGTAGGTCACATTTTTATATTTAATTACGCCACATGAACGCTAGCTGTCACTGACTTATTACAGATTTCGAAGCACATGTGTGACTAGGTTGTTGACATAATTCAGATTCAGAACAAAAGCATGTCACAGTTTTTAAAACTGCAAGTCATATATTATGAATTCAGGTCACATATTATGATTTCAGCATTTAAAATATTTTTAAAATGCAGGTCACAGATTTTTAAAATTTAGGTCACATATTATGATTTCAGTTTTTAAAATATTTTTAAAATGCAGGTTACATATTATAATTTCTGTTTTTAAAATATTTTAAAAATGCAGTTTATAGTCCTTTAAAATGTAGGTTACATATTATGATTTCAGTTTTTAAAATATTTTTAAAATGCAGGTCACGGTTTTTAAAACACAGGTCACATATTATGATTTCATTTTTTTCCATAAAGCGAACACAGTCTCAGATTAATGCTAATAGTCACAACATAATCACTGTCAATTGTTTTATTAATGTCAATTCTCGGAATTCCAATGTCACAAATTCACCTATTATTGATAAGAACATTGTGACATTACACAAACATGCAATTAATTGATTTAGAATGACATATCCGTTCTATACGAATCTACTAATTTAGAAGATGATTGACGTAGTGGAGTTTGTTTCATGAATTGTTCGATTTCTTGGTGGCTATAATCTCAATGCATTCTTGGAATAGTGACCTGGAATTTCCGATTAACGTCGCTTTTCTGAGACTTCTGGTGGCTATAGAAAGGCAATTTTAGATCTCTATGGCGTTTAATCATCGGTTACGTAACGTATTGTTTTTTGGGGAGGTGAATTTGTTAAAACAGAAAATCCGATATTGATGGTAAGTCAAGCCTATATATATATATATATTTGATTTTAGAAATTTGAAAG